GAAGAACTACTAAAACACCCAGGAAAAAAGTAACAAAATGGCAATAAATACATATTTATCAATAGCTACTTTAAATGTCAACAGACTAAATGCTCCAATCAAAAGGCATAAGGTGGCCAATTTGATAAAAAGCAAGACTCATATATATGCTGCATACAAGAGACACACTTAAGACCTAAAGACACTCACAAACTGAAAGTGGAAGGATGGAAAATGATATTCCATGCAAATGGTAAAGAAAAGAAAGCGAGGATAGCAATAGTTACATCAGACAAAATAGACTTTAAAATAAAAACTGTAACAAGAGACAAAGAAGGGCACTGCATAATGATAAAGGGAACAATCCAACAAGAAGATATAACACTTGTAAATATCTATGCACCTAACATAGGAGCACCTAAATCTATAAAGCAATTATTAACAGACATAAAAGGAGAATCAGATAGTAACACAATAATAGTAGGGGGCTTTAACTCTCCACTTACACCAATGGATAGATCATCCAAACAGAAGATCAATACAGAAACACTGGCCTTAAATGACACCATTGACCAGATGGACTTAGTGGATATATAGAGAACGTTCCATCCAAAAACCACAGAATACACATTCTCTTCAAATCCACAAGGAACATTCTCCAGGACTGATCATATAGTAGAGCACAAAAAGGTCTCAATAAATTTAAGAAGATTGAAATAATACCATCGGCTTTTCTCGACCTACAAAGGTATTAACTAGAAATCAACTACAGGAAGAAAGCCAGGAAAGCCACAAAAATGTGGAGATTAAACAAAATGCTACAGAACAACGATTGGGTCAATGAATAAATCAAAGGAGAAATAAAAAAATTCCCGGAGACAAATGAAAACGAAAATATGACATGCCAAAATCTATGGGATACAACAAAAGCGGTTCCAAGAGGGAAGTTCATAGCAATTCAGGCCTAACTCAACAAAGAAGAAAAATCACAAATAAACAAGGTAACTGTGCATCTAAGGGTGCTGGAAAAAGAAGAACGAACAAATCCCAAAATCAGCAGAAGGAGGAAATAATAAAAATCAGAGCAGAAATAAGTGAAATAGAGACTAAAACAACTATAGAAAAAATTAATGAAGCCAAGAGCTGGTTCTTTGAAAAGATAAACAAAATTGACAAACCCTTAGCCAGAGTCACCAAAAAAAATAAAAGAGAGACGGCTCAAATAAATAAAATCAGAAATCAAAGAGGAGAAATTACAATAGACACCTCAGAAACACAAAAAATAATAAGAGAATACTATGAAAAGCTATACACCAGCAAATTGGATAATCTAGAAGAAATGGATAAATTCTTAGAAACATACAACCTTCCAAAATTGGACCAAGAAGAAGTGGAGAGTGTGAATAGACCAATCACCAGTAAGGAGATCGAAACAGTAATCCAAAACCCACCAAAAAATAAAGGTCCAGGACCAGACGGCTTCCCTGGTGAATTCTATCAAACACTGAAAGAGGACTTAGTACCTATCCTTCTCAAACTCTTCCAAAAGATTTAAGAGAAGGGGAGGCTTCCTAACTCATTCTACAAAGCCGACATTATCCTGATACCAAAACAAGACAAGGACAACACAAAAAAAGAAAATTACAGGCCAATATCACTGATGAACGTTGATGCAAAAATCCTCAACAAAATACCAGCAAAACGAATACAACAATACATTGAAAAGATCATACATCATGATCAAGTTGGTTTCATTCCAGGGATGCAGAGATGGTTCAACACCTGCAAATCTGTCAATGCGATACACCACATTAACAAAATGAAGAATAAAAATCACATGATCATCTCAATACATGCAGAGAAAGCATTTGACAAGATACAGCATACATTTATGATAAAACCTCTAAATAAAATGGGTATAGAAAGAAAATACCTCAATATAATAAAGCCCATATATGACAAACCCACAGCAAATATCATTCTCAACGGAGAAAAACTGAAAGCTATCCCTCTAAGAACAGGAACCAGACAAGGATGCCCACTGTCCCCACTCTTATTTAACATAGTATTGGAAGTTCTAGCCAGAGCAATCAGGCAAGAAAAAGAAATAAAAGGGATCCACATTGGAAAAGAAGAAGTGAAACTGTCACTCTTTGCAGATGACATGATTTTATATGTAGAAAAACCTAAAGAATCCACTAAAATTTTTAGAAAACATAAATGAATACCGTCATGTCGTAGGATACAAAATCAACATAGAAAAACTGGTTGCGTTTCTCTACACTAACAACGAAGTAGCAGAAAGAGAAATTAAGAATACAATGCCATTTAAAATTGCAACAAAAAGAATAAAATACCTAGGAATAAACTTAACCAAAGAGGTGAAAGATCTGTATACTGAAAACTATAAACCATTGTTGAAAGAAATCGAAGAAGACACAAAGAAATGGAAAGATATTCCATGCTCTTAGATTGGAAGAATTAACATAGTGAAAATGTCCATACTTCCTAAAGCAATCTACAGATTCAATGCAATCCCTATCAAAGTTCCAACAACATTCTTCACAGAAATAGAACAAAGAATCTTAAAATGTATATGCAACAACAAAAGACCCCAAATAGCCGAAGGATTCCTGAGAAAAAAGAACAAAGCTGGAGGTATCACATTCCCTGATTTCAAAATATACTACAAAGCCATAGTAACCAAAACAGCATGGTACTGGCACATAAACAAACACATGGATCAATGGAACAGAATCAAGAGCGCAGAAATAATCCCACACATTGATGGACAGCTAATATTCGACAAGGGAGCTAAGAGCATACAGTGCAGAAAGGAGAGTCTCTTCAAGAAATGGTGTTGGGAAAAGTGGACAGCCACATGCAAAAGAATGAAAGTAGACCATTACCTTACACCGTGCACAAAAATCAACTCAAAATGGATTAAAGACTTGAATGTAAGACCCGAAACCATGAAACGTCTAGAAGAAAACACAGGCAGTATGCTCTTTGACATCAGTCTGAGCAGCATATTTTCAAGTCCCATGTCTGGCCTGGCAAGGGAAACAAAAGGAAAAATGAACAAATGGGACTACATCAAACTGAAAAGCTTCTCACAGCAAAGGAAACCATCAACAAAACAAAAAATCTAACATCGGGAGAAGATATTTGCAAACCATATATCAGATGAGGGGTTAATACCCCAAATTTACAAAGAACGCATACATCTCAACAACAAGAAAACCAACAACCCAATTAAAAAATGGGCAAAAGATCTTAACAGAGGTTTCTCCAAAGAAGATATACGGAGGGCCAACAGGCATATGAAAAGATGCTCAACATCATTAACTATCAGGGAAATGCAAATCAAAACTACAATGAGGTATCACATCGCTCTGGTCAGAATGGCTATGATTAACAAGACAGGAAACAAGTGTTGGAGAGGATGTGGAGAGATGGATGTACACTGCTGGTGAGAGTGCAAACTGGTGCAGCCACTATGGAAAGCAGTATGGAGATTCCTCCGAAAATTAAGAATAGATCTACCATATGATCCAGCTATCCCACTGCTGGGTATTTATCCAAGGAACTTGAAAACGCAAAGGCATAAAGATACCTGCACCCCTATGCTCGTTGCAGCATTATTCACAATAGCCAAGACTTGGAAGCAACCTAGGTGCCCATGAAGGGACGAATGGATAAAGAAGATGAGGTATCTATACATAATGGAATACTACTCAGCCATAAGAAATGATGAAATCTGGCCATTTGTGACAACATGGATGGACCTTGAGGTTATTATGCGAAGTGCTATAAGTCAGAAGGAGAAAGTCATATATCGTATGATCTCACTCATAAGTAGAAGATAAAAACAATCACAGACAAACACATAGCAACGAGATTGGATTGGTGGTTGCCAATTGGGGAGGGCAAAAGGGGTGATTAGGCTCACATGTGAGGTGATGGACTATAAGTTTTTGGGTGGTGAACATGATGTAGTCTACACAGAATTTGAAATATATTACGATGTACATCTGAAAGCTATATAATGTTATAATCCAATGTTACTGCAATAAAATAAAATGTAAAAAATCAAAGAAAAAGAATTAAATGAATGTGGAATGCTTGGCTCATAAATTTCAGCAATTATGATGATGAGAAACACTTGCAAAAATGACCCTCAAAACCAGAGTTCATTGATTACTTGCCAATGCACAGCCCAGGTTTATAAGTAGCGCCTAAGCTATAGGATACTTCTTCCTTCTACCCTTCGAGAGCCCTTGGAGTTGACAGTGCCCTTGCAAAGTGCAGGCTTGCTGATAACTAAAGGGAGAATATTTTCTCCAAGGCCCCTGGATTCAAAAGCCCACTCAGTGTCTTGGAAGGTCATAGGCCTCCATCTGCCTGTCGCTGTGTGTGGCTGCGGCCTACACTATGGGCTCAGTCCCCACAGGCACCAGTTAGCTCCTCTGGAACCAGAGTCAGGACTGCATCCCCAGCCGGTTCTGGCAGGCCTGCTGGTGGCTTCAAACCTTGGTCCAAGGATGGGCACGTGACTAATATTCCACATATTCTAGGATGGTCAGTCCCAGGCACTCACCTTGATCCTGGAACAATGAAACCACGTCTGCGCAGCAAAACATGAGCACCACGTGTTTACACTTAAGGCCATTCCAGAAAGTCACCCTTACAAACTCGAAAAGTCTGCCTTTCCCCTAGGATTTTTGATGAGGCCCACTCTGTTTGGAATTGTCCCTCAGGCAAATTTGAATTTAAGAGCCCATGCCATCCACGCCACTGCACCTGCCAAGGATGCCAAGGAAACGAGCCTTCCAGCTGCTCCTCCCGTGGGGCAGGTGAGGGAGTCTGGTGCTCGCTCGTCCTTCCTTGGTTCAAACCTGTTCTCCCGCTGAAGCTTATTTGGTTTGACTCAGAGCTTCATCTCGGGGGACGAGGGGTTGCGATTAGACAGCTGTTCATTAGAGAGTGTGTACAACCTTGACGTTTCTGCCTGTTGACAGGACACAGGTTCACATGATTGTGGACACAGACTCACGGACCCTGAGGAGATGAGAGAGGTGCTAAGAGCTGTCTTTCCAGAGAAGGAGAAAGAAACAGCAGGCAAACGTGATGCAGACACGAGGTGGACAGTAAAGCTAAGACTGGTTGAGGTAAAAGTGAAAAGCTAGGAAATTAAGGCAGACCCATTCGGTCTTTAAGAGAACTATCCTAATAGAGGCTGTGTCAGCGTCTCCTCAGCCCTGAGCTACGCCATTTAGAAATTATCAGAGCCCTGTGGGAACAAGTAATCATCTCAAATCACCTTTTCTGTCCGAGATTTATTAATTAATTAATTTATTTATTAATTTATTTATTTATTGTGAGGAAGATTTTCCCTGAGGTAACATCTATTGCCAATCTTCCTCTTTTTTTGCTTGAGGAAGATGGTCCCTGAGCTAACATCTGTGCCAGTCTTCCTCTATTTTGTATGTGGGATGCCACCACAGCCTGGCTTGATGAGCAGTGTAGGTCCACACTCGGGATCTGAACCCGTGAACCCCAGGCTGCTGAAGGAGAGCACATGAAATTAACCACTATGCAACTGGACCAGCCCTGTGCCCGTTTTAAAAACTCTGAACATTTTTGCAGTCATTGGATTATATTCCATGATCTCAAAGGTCCTCTATCATTTGATCCTTGACTCCTCTCCAGCAGCCCTTCATATGTCTGTCCCCAGTTTGACTTCTTGTGGGACAGATTCATATTTTATTTTACCTATGCAATACTTTTAAAATTTGAACCAAATTTACAAATTGGGACATTTCAAATTAAAACGTGGGTTTTTGTTTCTCTTAAAGGCATGGAAGATCTGCACCTGGGCCTACATTCCCCAAGTGGTTAGCTGGAGACCAGAGGTGGCTTCTCTCCATTTCTCCATGGTCCTCACCTTTCCCAGTTGTCTCACTGATCCTGAGGCTGTCAGTTACCACCATCATCATACTTACATGGTTTTGCTGGTGGAGGAGAACCATTTATCTTTATTCTTCTTGTAGTAAAACCCAGAAAAATGAAAAACAAATTGAGAGTATCAGCCATTTTCAGAAAAATGGGAGAAAACATTTCTTTGTATAAATTAAAATTATTTCTTTATATTTCCTATGTAAACAAAGTACATCCATGTCAAACCAGGCACTTTGCCGCTTTATGTCTCTCTTTGGCTGTAGAAAGGGGAGCATAGGCAAGATGGCATCTTAAATTCCTTTCACATTTAAAACACACTCAATCTTCATGCATAGGACAAAATTAAGGAGTGGGTTGAATGCTAAATAAATGTCTAAAATGTTCTAGGCATCCCACAGCTACTTGGACAATCCACACATAGATGCTTTGACACTTCTTCTGTACTTTCTGTTTGCACGTATGTGTCTAATCCACTCTCTTCACAAAAACTTATTGTGCCGCTCCCATGTACAAGTTCTATAAACAGTTGCCGTAAAAATGTAAGAAATGATAACACGATACTTGCTTCAAGGAGTTTACAGTCTGACAGAGGGGTGAGTCCTCGTGTGATAAAACAAGAAAATATTAAAGACCAAATGGATGTTGGGAATCCTACCGCAGGTCAGAGAGGAAACATGGCTTTCAGCTGTAGTGAGCAGAGGAGGCTTCCTGGAGAGGGTGTCGCTGAGAAGCTCCGATTAGCAGGGTTCTCTCCTCCTGAGAGCACGATGTCCCTAGGTCACGTGTTAGCACAGCTATCGTACAGCAGACAGCGCTAAAGAAGACGACTGAATGAGGCAGTTCCACATCAACAGGCTTTAATCAAAGGCTGGATCCTCTGGCGAGGGAGTCCCATCTACACACACACGCCTCTCCCATCAGTAGGAATTTCCCCTCCTGCTTAATTGTCATTTTGTTAAGATTCAGATCCGAATCCTTTTGGAAATGCAGACCTCCAGCAATGTTGGTGAAGATTCACTCTGAATTCTCTTCCAGATGTATCCTCTACCAACCTGGACCCAAAGCTAGACTCTACCAGTCGCACACCAGCTACAGTAAGCAGCATGCTAAAGTAAACTTTATCGAGTTTATGTTCAGAGTCCCTCGGCCTTTCTTCCTTTCATCCCTTCCAGCAATCTTTATCCCTTCCTCCCTTCCTCTCTCATCCCTCCTTTCCTCCTGCAGACATCCAATGCCTTCACATCAGTCCACCTTCTCTCCTAACAAAACCAGCTGCCAAGAAATGCTCTGGAAACAGTTAATTACTCTTCAGTATAAATGAAGCCGATCTGAACCTCTTTTGGAGTTCCTTACATTTTAACTCTCGTCTCATATTATCACATGGAAGGGTTGGCACCTAACAAAAATATCAGCCCTTCTACTACTACAACCACCTTTCCTACAGATCATTAGAATAATTTAAATTCTGAGACTCTGGGCAAGTAGTCAAAAATTTATTCAAGTATTTAATTCAATGGAGTATCCAAATTATCAGCCAAAAGTGAGCCACTATACTACTCAGGCTATTAGCAGTGTGACCAAATCTATAATCCTGGAACAAACTTGTGGCAAAAGGTGGCTATGGTCAAGCCATCTAAGGGACCTCCTTTTGCAGAGTCCGTATATTTTAAATACCAAGACCCTTCAAATCTCAGTCTTTCAAATCCAAATTACAATACCCACAGCGGTCCAAATAATAAAGCCGCAGCTGAACAATAAAAATGGGATTGGAGAGCATTTCCTCTGATATCTGAAGGCATCCTTCATTTTTATTTTAAGATTGTTGAGTCTGTTGGATATGTTGGAAAAATAGGAATATTGCCAAATAGTAATTCACTCACTCACTCACTCATTCACTCATCATTCATCAGCCGGGTATTTAGAGCTCGCTCTAGGCCAGGCTGCCCCTGGCCTCTGGAGCCTGAGTTGACGTCATGTGAGGGGGTGGGGAGGTACAGCAACTGCTGGATGGAGGAGAGGGGAGGACTCCCCCCGCTCTCCCTCAGATCTTCCCACTGACGTCTGAGAAGTTTGCCCTCTGAAAGACAGGATCTTTTCTGATTGAGTCTTGGTGGAAATGGGCTGTCTAGGGTTTCGTAAAGTGCCTGAGAAGAACACAACTTGGAAGGGTGATCCTCTGTGGGCTCCTAGATTCCAGGTTCCACCAGACCAGGGTTTCGTCCTCCACAGCATTGACCTTTAGCTGTAGAATCACCAAGCATCTTGGTGATTACGTCCTCCCGAACACTCTCCCTCCCTTAGAGGATGATGTTCTAAGTCAAACTTGGAAGCAGCAGACGCTGTTTCCCCCACCTCTGTGGAAGCCCTCTTTATTTTCTCTGTCCCACGGGAACCAGCAGACTTCTGGCGTGAAATCACCAACAGAAAAGAGGTAGCTTCAGAGCCATAATCCAAGGGTGTGCTCTTCAACTCACATTTGAACTAGGGCTTTAATTAAATAAGAAACATTAGGTTAGACCATTTGAGAGTGCTGAGTTTATGGGTAAAAAACGGCCCAGTGTTGGCAATTTCATGTGGCTCAATTTAATATTAAATGAACTTTTCAGTTTTTGCGCTTGCAACACAGGATTAGCGCTATCTTTACCCACAGACTCAGCAGCCTTGCATCTTGAAGATCAGTGTCTGGGGATCTTCATGTGGTAGATCACGTGATGAGTGAACACTCGACCCCAGTTGTTTTGGGTAACACAGATCAAGCTGCTCTTCAGAGGCAGCGGCACATGAGAGACCTGATTCAGAGAAGACGTGTACCCTAAACACACTCAGCACTAACAAAAACCCCAGGAGGGGGTGGGGGTAGGAGACCTTCTAGGTGCATCTATGTTGATCTTGTTGATCTATATATGTAGCTGATTATAATCGTTTTCCACTAATTGTGATAGTTGATACTTGATTAGAATTTTCCATTCCCTCCAGGAGCAAATTCCCATAGTCTCCCTCTGGGGGTACTGCTGATTCTTTCCTCGTAGAGTCCAGTGTTGACAGAAGCTCAGGAACTTTCTGGAATGCATGTAAAGGAGTCAGAGGGGTGTGCTTGGTCCTGTGCTTCGGTAGGCTGTCATCATTGGAATTGGCGGCTGTGCCAAAGTTCAGACCTTAGACAGTTAACACAAGCACGCGATTTCGAGAACAGAATTCAGAATCAGTCTAAAAGATTATTCTGTCATAAAAACATGTCTATCGGTGAGCATTTGTTTATTCTCATGGGATCTCTGTAGCCCCCAAGTCTGCGGGCTTCCACAGACACAGAAAGCAGCCCTTGGGAAAGTCACCCACATTGTGACTTGAGTTATCCACAAGGCGTGGTTCGTGCTTTTGCGGTGACATCCCAGAGAGTAGTCGCTGTTCACTCCAATAAATTAAATATTAGAAACCGATTCCCTATTCAACTATAAGTATATAGATATTGCACTTTTCATTAAATGCATTCCTATACTCCTGGTCCCCTGGGGGGCAAAGCACTTGATTATATCTTTTTTTAACAAAATATCTTGTATTATATTAGCCTCATGGTTAATTTGCTACATTTCCCCTCTTTTGGTTGCCCCTCCATCTGTTCAGATAAGCATGGCCAGGTGCACTACCTGTCCCAGCAAGAGTGTTTGGAGAGCTGCCCAGCAGGCCACCACTCTGCCAAGGGGCACGCCTGGCTGCCCGGCCCAGACACCTGTGAGCTTTGCCACAGTGCACATGTCTGCACGCGATGCATGGGCGGCCACTTCAGAGTGCCCACCAACCCCACCTGCCAGAAGGTAGAGTGTGGATGAGGTAAGGCTGCTCTGGGGCCACCGCCCTGTACCAGTAGCTGGCACAAGAAGCCGGACTTCAAAACTAGTTGCATGGCATAGAGTTAAAACCTTGTTCTACGTGTACCCAATCAAGCTGATGCAATCTATTAAATTAATAGAAGGAGATAAAAACAGTTCTGACACATATATCCTCAAGGATAGCTTTGGGTTTCATAATTACTCTATGATTTACTTGAAAATAAGCTACACACTCACATATTTTCATAGCAATTAATGTGTCTCCACTCAGTTAGAATGAATTGTGGAACCGGCTCTGATGGCCTGGTGGTTAAAGTTTGGCGCCCTCCACTTCGGTGGCCCAGGTTTTTTCCCCAGTCGCAGAACCACACCATCTGTCTGTCAGTTGCCATGCTGTGGCAGCAGCTCACATAGAAGAACTAGAATGACTTACAACTGGGCTATATAACCATTTACTGGGGCTTTGGGGAGGAAAAAATAAAAGAGGAAAATTGGCAACTATTTGTTAGTTTGGGGCGAATCTTTCCCTGCAAAAAAAAAAGAGAGAGAGAGAGAAAAGAATTGTGTTTCTCACTCCTCTCACTGCATAGGGGAAGTCCAAGACCCAGCCTATGAAGAACGCATGCCTTGTGCAGAAGGATGTCTCAGATGCAGGGTGGGTATGCCATTTTCCTTTATTACTTAAAGAGTGGAAATAGCTGTGTGCTTTTCCACACATCCTCACGCTGTCATGGCTTCAGCAGGGACTCTTGTCATTGCTGTCTCCATCAGTGTCACCATCAACATCCCTTAAGTAGGCTCACTCCCACACAAACAGGGTCACAGTGAAAGACGTTCCCTTTTGAGACAATGGCTAGGTCGCTTGTCTCCGTGAAACTCAAGTTTAGGAAGGGACAGTGTCACCTTTTCCTCTGGCTGTCAGCTGGTTGGCAGGGGATGCCTACTGCTGTGTTTCAGGGTGCCTGGGACTCTGCCTCTCCTTAGCTTCTCACGGTGACAAATTTGAAGATGGGAAATGGTGGGAGAGAAATGAACTCAAGCAAAGAAACGCCTGACGGTTCCAACTCACTCTGTATGTGAAAGACAAACAGAGAGTCAGGAGCTTGGGGAATCTTCCTAAACTAAAGTGACTCTATTGGGTGGAGCCTAAGACAATCCTTTGAGAAAAAAGAACCTGGTGACAGTAGATTTTGAAATCCCACCATACAAGGAAAAGCACTTGCCAGTCTTCCATGTGATTCTCTAATTCAAACCATTGGCTCCTCCTTTCTCCCCTCTCTCACAGATGGCTCTCCTGTGGTGGGTGGTGGGGACAG